TAATAGCCTTCTTGCCACCAGTAGCGATGGCCTCCAACCTAATAGCTTCTTGCTACTATAGTAGCCCCTCCCTAACTTGTTCCATGTGAAAGAACCCGTTCTTTAGTGCGAGAAGAGTTCTTTGCGAGGAGCAAGAAAAAAAAGAAGAAACTCTCCAAGCTCACAGGTTCCTCTCTCACACCACCCACCCCACGAACTGCTCACTCCCTCGTCCTCCCTCGCTCCTCCGGGACCCATATCAGGGTTCCCGAAAGTTCCCCCAACGACCGGGTCCTCCCTCCGGGGCACGATGGTGTTCGTCACAGTGGTGCCGATGTTGGCGCCCATGATGATGGGGATGGCCTCGACCGACGGCCACCGGGCAGAAGGCGGTGGCAGCGCGGGAGCTGTGGAGAGGAGGAGAGGCGCCGTAGTTGCAAAGAAGCGCGAGCAAAGGGACTCAGATTCAGATTCTGAGTGTTTTGGATGGACAGCCCTGACTTCCTACACCGCTACTGCATGGCCACCCAAAACAAGCCTATCGGAGCCGAAAGGCGACACGGAACACCCTCCGTTTCCTCGGACCAAAACCCTTTATAGAGACCCCCTTCTATACACGCCACCGGAAGCAGGACCCGGTCCCGTACGTGGTCCGCACAGAGACCGATCCTCACCAAGGGACCGGCAACGCACTCAGCGCGTGGCTTCGAGCGGCGCGGTCCGCGTGCGAGTCGTTTACAGTACACGTTCCGAGAAAGAACGACGTCGGTGCCGGCTGGTCTCCACACAGGTCAACCTGTGGACACGACCGACAGATGGACCGAATCGGTCCGACAGGGGTGCCCTGTCTGGAGACCTCTAAGTCTTGTGGAGATATCCAGCCAGGTGACCCCTTTGGAAGCAGCTGGTATAGGTGCAGGTGAGGCAGGTGATGCTTTGGTCGCAAACCTTTGAAGTCGACCAGTCGACCAAATCCCAAGTAGCGCCACACTCATTCATCGAGTTCCTATCAACAGCCTTCATGGAACAGTAAGTCAATGGCCGCGGTTCCACTTCTTGCCACCCACACCTTCCAACAGCCACTCCAACCGCGCACGACCGACCACTCAGACAGCCGCTCTCGGACCGGACTCCAACCCCACCGTAGCGATGGCCAGGAGCCCTGAACGTAGCTTCTTGCTCCGTTCGTAGCGATGCCAGGAGCCCCTAGTAGCTTCTTGTTACTAGTAGCTTCTTGTTACATAGTAGTTTCTTGTTACTTGTAGATCTTGTAGAAAGGCCAGGAGCCCCCAACATAGCGTCCTTGTTCCTCTCTGCTTCATCTGGGCGTCATTACGCACTGAGAGTTGTCCCGCACCCACGAGGCCCACGACGATGCTGGTGCTGGTGGAACTGGATTGCACCAGAACGGTGGCCAGAATCCCCACCATCAGTCCTGCAGGTGGGACAGATTTCTTTTGAAGAAGAACAAGCAAACCACCCCACACGGCTGGGGAGATGTTTCTGAAGTTGCAGAAAATGTTTCAGGTCTCAAATCATGGCAACAACTGAACCCAGATTAAGATGGACAACACAACATATATATATTATATTGTATGTATGTATGTATGTATGTATTTATTTTTCTTCTAAAGTTGAGGTTGGCGGTTGCTCTTTGGCGGTTGACTAGGTCAGGTGCCTCAGGGGTGGGTCGCGTTCAGAAGAAGTCAACAGTGAAGTGGTCTTCTTCTCCTGCTTCCTCGTCAGAGGCTGTCATGACCTGGTCATTGATGGCCTGGTCGGTCATGGACTCCCTGTCGTCCAGGGATGTGGGAAAGTGCAGCCTGCGTGGTGTTGGCCTTGTGCTGACCTCCGGCTCGTGTTCAGCAGTGGGCTTGTGGTCTCCCTCTGCTTGGCTGTGGGCGTCGCTCTTTTTTCTTGAAGAACTCGCTGAGTGGCGGTGAGCCTTTGGTGCCAGCTCCTTTGCAGATTTTGGACAACACCTGGTTGGTGATGATGTGCTGCTCGCCATCAAGGTTCCAGTGAGAGCCACATTGGGTGCACTTCACCTTCTCCCCCTTTTGCCACAAACTGTGGCTTGGGTGGCCTTGGGGTGGTTGCGGGTAGGCCGGATCGATACACTTGGATGTGATGAAGTGTTGGAAGGCCTCTTCATTGACTCTTTTGTGGGTGTTGACCCCACATTTGAAGCATCTGAGGTACCCTGTGGTCTCTGCACACTGGTGCTCGGAAGGGCCCGGGGCTTGCTGCTGCTGACGGTGCAGTAGGTCCTTGATGACCTGGGCCCTGGTGTTCTTCTTGGCCAGGGGTTCAGCTTTGGTTGGCATGGCATGTGCATCTTCAATGAGGACTTGAGGACAGTCTTCATGGAGGCGTTCTTCGAGAATGCTTTTGGCCAGACCTTGATGCATTCTTGTTCCACACGCCGTGCATTGGTACCCGCTTCGATGAGTCCCACCGGTGATGGTTGTCTGCCCAGACTTTGCCACACTGCTTCATGAGGTCACGTTTGTACTGCTTGGTGTGCTTCCCTTGATGTCTGGGAGCTTTCTGGTGAATGAAGTGCTGGGGATCATCGTAGATCTTGGCTAGCCGTTGTACAGCATGGGTGTATATCACCTTGTGGTCGGAGTCTAGGACTTCTTGCCATTCTGTTTGTTTGTGGTCTTGGAACTGTTTGGCCCTTTCCCAGGCTGTCAGGGCTGAGTCCCTCTGGCGCCTCTGGAGCTGTGGTTCGTTGCCTGGAGCGTCAGGAGTTCTGGTTGCTCTGCTGATGTAGAGCACTGTGATGCGCCA